TCAGAATGACGAACATTGAAGCCATTAATCACTGCATCCTTATCCAGTATTTGTATCACAAACATTTTAGGAAGTGTTTGTACGTTCAGTACGACAAGTATCCCAGATATATTTTTAAAATCAGCCAGCGTGTTACGTATGATTGAGGGACCAGGGTTAAGCTGGATACCAACAGAAAAAGCACAATAATTAAGCATCTCCACTTAATTGTCAATACAAGACTAAATATTGCAGCTTGAAGCATCTGAAGAGTTCATCAAAGAAAAGACACCAGGAAAACAACAGTCCTCCAGAACCCAAAGATAGTAAAGCTCAGTTTGATCAGTGTTCCCGTGCTACTACCACCCATTATATTCATGGCCTAGTGAAGACACTGCATTACCCGCGCTGTCTAGCTGTGAAGTAAGGAGTATGGATTGCTGATAGCATAGCCACTAAAACTCAAAGCCACCACAAAGCAGAGAAGCAAGGGAAAAGACACCACTGCAACAGACAGAAAGACAGAGAGATCAGCTTAGCAGATAGGCATAGGCCTATCTGATCTGTCAGGAGGGATAGCACAGCAGAGCAGTGAGAATAATCCCGTATCAGATCATCAGTCCAGGACAGAATGAAGGGGTTTGCTCCACACATCTTGTTCTATCAGGGCTGTCAATTAGGCTCAAAATAGTGGTTAGCAGTTAGCCTCCTTGCTAACTCATCTAATACACATAACAGACAGATGACGATTTCCCTTTTTGTCCTGTTGTGCATGGAGATGAGCGTCTGTGCAGCAACAGCGTAACAAAGTTTGGAGCATGAGATCGACATGGCCGGACATTGTGTGAGTGGGTACTAGAAGAGGACTGGCCAAGAGAGAAATGTTTAAAAGCCTGAAAGTCCCCCAATTGGGGGACATTGAGAGTGACTTTGCAAACACAGTGTGAAACAATGCACTGATCACGAAGAATATAGTGATGTTGCACATCAAATTAAACAGCAGAACCTGGGCTACAATGCTGTAAAAACCCTTTTTACATGCCCCAAACACAGCTCAAACAACAACTAAATAAACAACAACAAATCCATCAAAATCATTAGGGATTTACAGAAAAAAAAAAGATATAGGCTTGTACATGACAAAAATCACATGCAAACATGGTGCAATTTTGGAGAGCTCGCCTGAATTTTCTGTACTAAAACCTCTCTAATATTCTTCTGCTTCTATCTAGCGACGAGGTGAATATTTATTCAGAAATCTAAACCATGTTACAATATTGTAATGAATGACTCTCGAGCAGGAGACCAGAGGAGCGTTCGGGGAAAAAGGCCAGTTTATTTGAGCACTCCAGAAACTCCGGTAACACTCCAGGGGGTAAAAAACTCTGTCCCTAACTCTGACTCTTCTAGCGTAACACACACACACACACACACACTCCATACACACATACTCGTTTACAATACCGAGTGGGGACCCCCTCCCCTCTTTGCTCCACCAATCTCCAGCCCGCACACTGACTGACAGTGTAGCCTGTAAACAGAGCTCAGCTGTTTATTTAGCCTAGCAATATCTCCGAACTATAGTAGCTGCAATGGACGACTTTGAACGCGATTTTGAAGAGTTTCTTGTAGTGGCCACAGACCCAGAGCCATACCTGTTTGAGCCGGAGCATACAGATGAGGAACTCCATGTGTTTGATGCTGAGCGGGCGAGAAGAGAGGCTGAATGCACAGAATGGGATTCGGTGCTACTGCTACCATCGTTGGGGAGATATATCATCAGGAGGAAAAGCGTGCATCACAAGGAGTGAAGTTGCGTCTTCTTTTCCTCGCAGATGACGGTTCGGGTTCATTCTCTCCTGTTGCGTGGTAAGTGTGGTCCATTCGCAAACTTTATAACTAAAAAAACTTTTCACTACTCTCTATCAACGAACTACTAACACTCTCTGCTGTTTCCTCCTCCTTCTTCCTTCCTTCCGCTGTCTTCGTTGGTTCATTTATACACACGAAACGCGTTCTCTGGCTGGCTGGATTGTCCGCTCGGTCTGCCGTACATACATGGCGGCGCAAGATGGCGACCTCTCTAAAGCAAGACCCTTGCTATATAT